CGAGCCCCGCGTCAGGCTCTGATGGCTCAGAGCCTGGAGCCTGTTTCCGATTCTGTGTCTCCCTCTCTTTCTGCCCCTCCCCCGTTCATGCTCTGTCTCTCTCTGTCCCAAAACTAAATAAACGTTGAAAAAAAAAATTAAAAAAAAAAAAAAAAGATTCTTGGACTATGGGGCACATGGGTGGTTCAGTCAGTTATGCATCTGACTCTTGATGTCAGCTGAGGATGTGATCTCAAGGTTCATGAGTTCAAGCCCCCTGTCAGGTTCTGCACTGATGGCACAGAGCCTGCTTGAAATTCTCTCTCTCCCTCTCTCACCATCCCTCCCTTCCTCCTCCCTCTCTCTTTCAAAATAAATAAATAAATAATAAACTTAAAAAAAAAAAGATTCTCAGATTCAAAGTCTTACAATCTACTTCATATAAACAACTAACCATTTTGATTTTTAAACCATTTACAGGTCAAGTGTTTTTCCTCTTAAGAGCTTACCTGTGTAGGTTCAGGAGCCATACTCTTCCTTTGTTCAGTTGATTTTTCTATTGCTTCACTAAGAGATTTTGCATACTGTACCATAGCCTTCAACTGGGAATCAGTTAAAACCCATAATAAGTCATCCAATATTAGAACTAACTTTGTTGCAATAACATTGCAGTCCTTTAACTGTAAGAAAAAAATGATTCATAAAATTAAGCCAAGACATAAAACTTACAAATGCACAATGTTTTAAAAAATGCTTAAAATGTTTGAATGAAGTTAAATATGGATCCTTCCTTCATTGACCAAATATTTACTGGGTTCCTGTACTATAGAACAAATATCTCCTTGTACTGGAGATACAGTGGTAAAAAAGACTGACAAATTCCTATACCTTAACAGGTGCATATTATGCAAGTACAAGTACTTATATAATTTAATTTTTCATTTATAGCTAATAAGTCATATAATTACCTCCAATAATTGTGCTAATTCTAGTACAGAAAGGATTAAAATTAAACATGAAATGCTATGTTAACCACATTTCACATTTCAATTTTTTTTTTTAATGTTTTATTTATTCTTGAGAGAAAGAGAGACAGAGCATGAATGAGGGAGGGGCACAGCAAGAGAGGGAGACACAGAATCTGAAGCAGACTCCAGGCTCTGAGCTGTCAGCACAGAGTCCGACGTGGGGCTCAAACTCACGAGCCGTGAGATCATGATCCAAGCTGAAGTTGGACACTCAACCAACTGAGCCACCCAGGTGCCCCCACATTTCACATTTCAGAATACTGTAGTAAGCACTGTACTCTGAAATTTTTTTTGAACTTAATTTAGTATATTTATTTGTGTCTAATGATACAAAACATTTTGTTGAGAATTTAACTGAGCATGTTTTAAAAAGTCATGACTCCTTCATTAAATTTCATCACAATCTATAGAGAACTCTCAACTTCTGATATCTTGAAGTCACTATCTTCCCTACTTACCTAAATTACCATTCATATGTTAATAACCTTCTAAGGCTAGTAGTTTTGGTGACTTTGGAGGCTTTGCAGTTTACCCACAGCAAGATTCAACAGAAGAAATGAAATTACAAGACAGTTAATAATGTTCAACAATATTTGGCAACGGAGAATCTATTCAATTTATCAAAAGTAAAAATCTAGGGGCTCCTGGGTGGCTTAGTCGGTTAAGAGTCTGACTTCGGCTCAGGTCATGATCTCACGGTCCGTGAGCTCAAGCCCAGCTGTGCTGACAGCTCAGAGCCTGAAGCCTGTTTCAGATTCTGTGTGTCCCTCTCTCTCTGACCCTCCACCGTTCATGCTCTGTCTCTCTCTGTCTCAAAAATAAACGTTAAAAAAAAATTTTTTTTTAAAGTAAAAATCTAAGTATCAAACGTAGATGACTGAAAAATGTTATTACACTAGATTTTTTCAAATACTGCTTAAGGCACTATATTTCCTTTTATTTTGCTTTTAAGTATTCCTATATTTCACTTAAAAACTTATTTAAAATTTCCTCTCAATTCCACTAGTTATCACATGAACCAAAAAGGTAACCCTATTGACTTACTCTTCTTTTAAGTGTGACTCTGATTTTTGATTGGTTGGTTATTAATCGAACAGGAGCACACATAATTTCAAGATGTGAACTTTGAGTAGCATCTGCCTCTATTCGAATCATCTGCCAATTTATTTCTTTAAACGTCAAAACCTAAGGAGAACAGAGATTAGCTTCACTTAGGCGACACAGAATGAGAAATGTGTAGATCTGTAAAAACAAAAAAGCTAAATAAAATTTGTCTCTTTACTAATATTCTTATGACACTCTAGATATATTCACTATGCTTTTATTTTTAAAAATTGTATAGCTGCAACAAATTCAGTAACATATCTTCCTAATTATATTAATTATTTGTAAAGCTGTTAATATTTTACTCTGAATTTGATATAAAGCACAAAAAGCATGTGAATCATGTGACCAAGAAAAACTTAAATAGGATTTTAGTTTTGTATATTTAAAATTCAATTCTGAGTAGCTGAGAATTTAAAATGAGGTTCATTAACTCCATAAGTTGAAAGATTTATTACATAAAAACACTAAAATATGCACATTTTAAATTAAATAACTAAGAGAAATACATAGAAAAGTAGAGTTAAAAGGCAAGAGTAAATGCAGTATGTGAATCTAGGGTAACTATAAGAAGTCATTATTTTAAAATGCACTCTTTTATTTATCAGTGACTAAAAGATTTTTTAAACAAAGAATGAAAAAAAAAATGCTTACCTCTCCTCTCTGTGGATCTTGAATACGAGTAAATCTTAAATCTCCATGTTCCCAGTTTGCATTTACACTATAGATTCGTAACTGGGAAAGTTCAAAGGATGCATTGAAAGCTTTTGCTCCAATGCGGATAACAATGGAGTTTACAGAAACAGTAATTCCCTCAACGACTTTTTCAGCAAAGCCATATTCACTGGAAAAATAAAGGAAAATATAATGCACTAAAGCCCATATAAATCATTGATAAGTTATCTGTTAATATTTTCACACAAGTGTATAAAAGGACCATAATATTATTCATTTTTATTTTTAAAAATTTTCAGTAAAAGCAATAATCTAGCCTGATTGTCAACCTCAAAGGGCCGTGGACCTAGGGTTTCCCACACCTGATTGCATGTAAATTATAAAAATGTTGTCAAAATGATAAAAATCTTTAAGATTTCACATTACTCTATACAAATTTTTTATTTTAATTCCAGTATGGTTAATACACAGTAATATATTCGTTTCAGGTGTACAATAGAGTGACTCAACAATTCTATACACTACTCAGTAGTCATGATAAATGTACTCTTTAATCTCCATCACCTATTTTACTCATCCTCCTCCCCACCCCTCTGGTAGCCATCAGTTTGTTCTCTATACTTATGAGTCTGGGAGCACCTGCGTGGCTCATTTGGTTAAGTGTCCAACTCTTGGTTTCGGCTCAGGTCATGAGCTCATGGTACATGGGTCTGAGCCCCACATCAGGCTCCACACTGATGCTGTGGAGCCTTATTAGGATTTTCTCTCTCCCTCTCTCTCTCTCAAAACAAACCTTAAAAGAAAGTATTAAAAAAGTGTTTCTTGGTTTGTCTTTTTTAGCCTTTGCTCGTTTGTTTTCTTTCTTAAATTTCACATATGAGTGAATACGACACATGCGGTCTCTTAAATACCACATATGGTATTTATCTTTCTCTGACTTATCTTGCTTAGTATTATACTCTCCAGATCCATCCATGCTGTTGCAAATGGCAAGATTTCATTCTTTTTTATGGCTGAATAATATTCCAATTTACATATACATATATCACTTTTTCTTTATTCATCACTTGATGGACATTTGGCTGCTCCCATATCTTGGCTATTGTAAATAATATGACAATAAGATAGGGGTGCATTTATCTTTTCAAATTATGCTTTTTTATTCTTTGGGTAAATACCCAATAGAATTACTGAATCATCTGGTAGTTCTAGTTCTAATTTTTTGAGGAACCTTCATGCTATTTTCCTGAGTGGCTGCACCAGTTTGCATTCCCACCAACACTGCATGAGTGTTCCTTTTTCTCCACATCCTCACAAATACCTGTGTCTTGTGCTTCTGATTTTAGCCATTTTGACAGGTGTGAGTAAAGGTTACTCTTTAAATGAGGTTATTGTAATTATTATCCAAAGCTGCTTATTCTCAAGTTGCCAGATATCCAGACAACTGGGAATCTATAAATAAGAGAGCTAAATTCTTGACACAAAGAAGGTTACAGACTATAACTACAATATAATCTCATAATTCAGGAATAAAGTCAGAAAAAGTTCACATTTTCTAATTCAATTCAGCAAATATTTGTTGAACATCTACCATGCGCACTACGCTGGGAAATAAGGAAACCAAAATACAGTTGTGGTATTCTAGGGCTTGCAAGTTCCTTGGAGACGAAAAACACATGTACCCTAAGAACTGAAACATTAAGGTAGTCTATAATTAAGTGCTTTAAAAATAGAATCATCACTACACTTGGTAGAAGAAAATGTATTTCCCTCAGGGAGAGATGGCAGAAAGGGAAATCTTACATTAGGGAAAAGAATGAGCGAGTGCAAAAAAGTAGGAAAGTAGAGGTCACAATGAGAATAATGAGTAAATGGGGTGCCTGGGTTAAGTATCTAATGCTTGATCTCGGCTCAGGTAGTGATCTCACAGTTCATGGGATCAAGCTCCATATCCAGCTCCGTGCTGACAATGCAGGGCCTGCTTGGAATTCTCTCTCCCTCTCTCTCTGCCCCTCCCCTACTCACGCTCTCTCTCAAAATAAATAAACATTTAAAAAAAAGAAAAGAAAAAGGGAATAATGAGTAGGACAGTATGCTTGGAATGTAGATTATCAATATATTTTGGCAGGAGGGGTGGTGAAAATTTGCCCAAATGGCATATTACTTCAATTATCATCACTATGACCATTATTCCTAAATCCATCTCTATCCAGATCTCTCACTAGAACTTCAGACTGTTATGGGAATGCAAGCTGGTGTAGCCACTCTGGAAAACAGTATGGAGGTTTCTCAAAAAACTAAAAATAGAACTACCCTACGACCCAGCAATTGCACTACTAGGCATTTATCCATGGGATACAGGGATGCTGTTTTGAAGGGACACATGCATGTTTATAGCAGCACTATCAACAATAGCCAAAGTATGGAAAGAGCCCAAATGTCCATTGATGGATGAAGAAGATGTGGTGTATAAATGTATACATATACGTACACACACACACACACACACACACACACACACACACACACACACTGGAGTATTACTCGGCAATCAAAAAGAATGAAATCTTGCCATTTCCAACTATGTGGATGGAACTGGAGGGTATTATGCTAAGTGAAATTAGTCAGAGAAAGACAAAAATCATATGACTTCACTCATATGAGGACTTTAAGAGACAAAACAGATGAACATAAGGGAAGGGAAACAAAAATAATATAAAAACAGGGAGGGGGACAAAGCATAAGAGACTCATAAAATATGGAGAACAAATTGAGGGTTACTAGAGGGGTTGTGGCAGGGGGGATGGGCTAAATGGGTAAGGGGCATTAAGGAATCTACTCCTGAAATCGTTGTTTCACTATATGCTAACTAATTTGGATGTAAATTTTAAAAAAGAAAAAAGAAAATTGAAACAAACAAAAAAGAAAAAAATGAACTTCAGAAAAATTCAGATGTCCACCAAATATTTCCATCTGGATGCCTCTCACACATTTTATTTATTTTTTTTTTAATTTTTTTTTTTCAACGTTTATTTATTTTTGGGACAGAGAGAGACAGAGCATGAACGGGCGAGGGGCAGAGAGAGAGGGAGACACAGAATCAGAAACAGGCTCCAGGCTCTGAGCCATCAGCCCAGAGCCTGACGCGGGGCTCGAACTCCCGGACCGGGAGATCGTGACCTGGCTGAAGTCGGACGCTTAACCGACTGCGCCACCCAGGCGCCCCAGCCTCTCACACATTTTAAAGCCAACATGCGTGAAAGTGAACCTATCATCTTTGTTGATCGTGCACTTCCTTCCCCTCTACCTGCTGCTAGGCTTCCTTATTTTCTATCTCATTGAGTAAGTAAATAAACTTCCTAATCCTCCAATGACTTATCTTTTAAATCAGGTAATACTTTGAGGTTACATGTGGGCTGCATGAAATAATGCATATGAACCAAACAGCCCATGTCTTGATTCATGATACTTTATGAAACACAACTATTATTTATAGTACTAATAGTATTATATTCTTATTAAATCTATGAAAAGTCTGGGTGAAAAAACATATGAAAAACTCAGCCTCAGTATCTTCATTTGTAAAATAAAAATAATACATATTTTGGGGCACCAGGTGGCTCAGTTGGTTAAGCATCCAACTTCAGCTCAGGTCATGATCTCACTGCTAGTGAGTTTGAGCCCTGCGTGGGGCTCTGTGTTGACAGCTCACAACTCAAAGCCTGGAGCCTGCTTCAGATTCTGTCTCCGTCTCTCTGCCCCTCCCCTGCTTGTGCTCTCTTTTTCTCTCAAATATAAATAAATAAACATTAAAAATAATTATTATTATACACATTTTCAAAAGGTTGCTGTGGTCCTTAAGTAAAATGGTGTTTGTACAATAGTTTATATAGTCCTTAGCTTGCCTTAGGTAATTTTGGTTGTTTACCTTGGGCTTAGAAAACTGAGAACTAAAGAGGAAGAACTCATCAGCATCCTAGGGAGAAGTTGCTTTAATCCCACGGACAAATATTGGTCACTTAGACAGAAATATTCCTGGAGTTGGAATGAATATATCTATAAAAATTATTTGGGAACACCCTCTGGAATATCCAATGTCATCTGTTCTAACCTATGCACATTAAAAAGTGTTACAACTTTGGGAAGCCAAAGTTGTTTGGCAAGCTGGTGCAGCCACTCTGGAAAACAGTATGGAGGTTCCTCAAAAAACTAAAAATAGAACTACCCTACAACCCAGCAATTGCACTACTAGGCATTTATCCAAGGGATACAGGTGTGCTGTTTTGAAGGGACACATGCACCCCAATGTCCACAGCAGCACTATCAACAACAGCCAAAGTATGGAAAGAGCCCAAATGTCCATCGATGGATGAATGGATAAAAATGATGTGGTGTGTGTGTGTGTACACACACACACACACACACACACACGCACATATACATACAGTGGAGAATTACTCGAAATCAAAAAGAATGAAATCTTGCCATTTGCAATCACATGGATGGAAATGGAGGGTATTATGCTAAGTGAAATTAGAGAAAGACAAAAATCATATGACTTCACTCATATGAGGACTTTAAGAGACAAAACAGAGAACATAAGGGAAGGGAGAGAAAAAGAATATAAAAACAGGGAGGGGGACAAAGCATAAGAGACTCATAAATATGGAGAACAAACTGAGGGTTTACTGGAGGGGTTGTGGGAGGGGGAGATGGGCTAAATGGGTAAGAGGCACTAAAAAATCTACTCCTGAAATCATTGTTGCACTATATGCTAATTTGGATACAAATTTTAAAAATAAAATTAAAAAATAAATAAATAAAATAAAAAGTGTTACGACTTTACTGGAGGATTTACCATCAGAGGCATGAAGCCTGAATCTATGACTAAGGTAGACAAGTTTCTGGTTATGTCATCCATTGTAAATTTAAAAGGTGAAACTCCAGTTTTCAAGTAAGTTTCTTCTAAGTTTGATTTATCTTCACATAGAAGTACATCTCCTCTATATGACACGGTAAAATCAAATTTCTGAACTTACAAATTTGCTAGATCATTAATCTATAGGACTATTATCAGGGCACCTGGGTGGCTCAGTCTGTTGGGCATCCAACTTTGGCTCAGGTCATGATCCCACAATTCATGGGTTTGAGCCCCGCAACGGGCTCTGTGCTGACAGCTTAGAGCCTGGAGCCTGCTTTGAATTCTGTGTCTCCCTCTCTCTCTGGTCCTCCCCTACTCATGCTCTGTCTCTCTCTCTCTCTCTTTCAAAAAAAAATAAATAAATAAAAACATTAAAAAAAAATTTTTTTTAAATCTATAGGACTATTATCAACTCACCGGTCCTACACAGAAGGCCCTCCTGTTAAATATTAATTTCCCTGTATTTTAATCTCTTAGAGACAAAATCAAATAAATCAGTGTTTCCCCAAATTGTATAAGTATAAAGAATTGTTGAAAATATATAATCACAGTCTTGATAACCATTCTAAGACCTCAAGAATCATAATTTCAAAAAAAAAAAAAAAAAGGACCCTAAGAGACTATAGATTATTAATAAGCACCCAAAGTGATTGCTACCATCAGGCAAGTCTGGAAAATGTCAAAGTAGATTAACCGTAAGCCAAAAATATAAAGTACTATAAAAACATGCTGAAAGAGGAAGGTGGAAATGTGTATGCATGTGTGTCTGTGTATATGATGTGTATGTTCATTCTATTTTTTATTTTATTTTATTTTTTTAAGATTTTATTTTTAATTAATCTCTACACCCAATGTAGGGCTCAAACTTATAACCCTGAGATCAAGAGTCGCATCTTCTACTAACTGAGCCAGCCAGGTACCCCGTATGTATCCATTCCAAAGAAGAGTTTAACACTGGTTTTACACAGAACCTGGAACACTATAAAATGTTTAAGGCTGCCATGTTGTATAACTTGAAGAGGCACTAATCAAATTAAAATCTATGTGAACATTTTATATGAATAGGTGCACAATCCCCAAATTAGTGGAGACATCCTGCCTTAAAGAAATGAAATACAGTATGAGATCCAAATTTAATGAATACAATAAATAGGAAATTTTTTAAAGATCTATTAAGATCTAACTTTTCAGCAAAACTTTGTGAAATGGCTCTCATGCTTCTACTTTATTAGCATCTGATTTTTTATTTATCAAAATCCAATTTGTATAAAGTATGAGCATACTATATTTAATGAGTTTTAGAATAACCCAAATGGCCTATAATTTTTTTAAGGCACCAACTTAACTCTTAAGAGTCATAAAAGTTCCACTGATGCACAGAATAAATAAATGATAGGCAAAAAAACTACTTAGAGACTAAGAGACTATCTGATTTATAGAAGCTTTTGGTTGATCATTACTATTTAATATCAAGGAAAGCAAAATAAACAAAAGAGGCTAAAAATAAATTCTACTATTTTGGCAGCACAATACCAAAACTGCAAATTGTTTGATGGGAAAGGTGACTGAAATAGAGATTGTCTGACATTAGGAAATTTTATGTCCCATCACTACAGATAACAGAGCTGACCAAAGAAAAGGACTCCCTTTGCCAGTCATGCAGATTAATGGAAATAGCTTACCTTTGTCCTGAAGCAGTTGCAATTGGTGATGGGCCATTAGGATTTCGTGGTTCTTCACATGTACTCATTTCCATTATTACTTTATCCAGGGACTAATAAAAATAACATCAAAAAAATGTAAAAAATTAGATACAGTATTTTATTTTATGTATGTTTTGAAATATTATGTAATGCTATTTTCTCTTTCATTTCTTTAGGAACAAAGTAAACAGTAAGTAAGCAGAGTCACTTTAAATGTCTTTCAAACAAATACCAAAACAGAAAACAATGTGCTCAGTCGTTTCTCAAGGAACTTATTACCTGATTAAAAAAAAAAAAAAAAAAAAAAAGGGCTGTGGGCATATACGATTATGAAAGAAAAAAACTACAAGTAGCCATATGCTGGTGAAATCAATAGATTTTACAGGAGTGCAATCTCTAGTCCCAGAATGTATAATATTATTAATTGCTAAATGAGATTATGTATTACTGAATGGGACCTACCAATCTAAGACTTGAGATTTAAGACATATAACAATTAAATATATGAAATATGAAAGAAATATGGAAAGACATTCCCATAATGAAAAAATTTCTTTCAAGATAACAGTTTTTGTTGAAGATCAAATGTCTTTGGTAGTCATCACTAACAAAACTTAGTCATTCTTCATTCTCTATTTTAATATAGCATTTATTATCTGAAATTATCTTATTTGTTTACTTATTCATTGTCAGTCTCCTCTATAAAAATATTAAGCTCCCTCAGGAAATGGGGAAGGTGCTCAATAAATATTTGTGGAATAAATGAATCAATAAGTAACCAAATGACCAATCTTTCTTAAATTTTCTTTAAAAAAGAAAAGTATATTAATGTGCATATTATTTAATTTGCTACATGATTAAAATCAGAAACACAGAAAGCATGAATTAAATGTTATTTACTGCCATATATACTGCCATAGTATATCAATAAAGAGCTAAATGATACAATAAAAATATACCAACTTACAACATAACACATGTGAAAATTTAAAGACCCTCCCATTTTAAGTTCAAACTTCTCATTTAAGGGCTGAGAAAACTAAGTACTATTCAAATAAAATGAAAGCTAATTAGTGGAAAAGCCAGAAGATCATATTTCTATGAAATAAAGCATTAATATTAGCAAAGTACTTAAATCATATCATATATAAATGTTTATTTCTGAGGTAAGTCAGAACTCACCAAACAGATGGGATGTGTTTTCAATTTTGTCCATGGGATCTACCAAAGAAAAATTAAAAAAACAAAAATTGTTTTCTTTAAAATCAATCATTAAAAAAATAGCAATCAACACAGATGTTCTCTCTTTAAAAAAAAAAAAGTTTATTTACTTAGAGAGCACGCCCACGCTCCCACGCGTGAGCGGGGTGGGGCAGAGAGAAGCAGGCTCTGTCCTGTCAGCACAGAGCCGAACGTGGGGCTCAATATCAGGATCGTGAGATCATGACCTGAGCCAAAATCAAGAATCAGACACCTTAACTGATTATGCCACGCAGGCTCCCAAGATGCTCTCTTAATTTAGTGATAGACATACCAAATTTTATCAGATGGCTTTTTTCTCAAATTGCAAAATAATGAACTGAGAAATTCATTCAGACTCTTAAAATCAGATGTACCTGTTTTGTATACGAAAAGACTACTAATCATTATTTTCTTGGTTATCTTTTAAAATAAGAATTTCAGGTCCTCTTAAGTTTCTTTTTTTCCAGACCTTAAAAATATGTTAACTTCTTTCTTCCTTCCTTCCTCCCTCCCTCCGTCTTTTCTTTCTTTTCCTTCCTTCCTTCCTTCCTTTCCCTTCCTTCCCCTTCCTTCCTTCCTCCCTCCCTCCCTCCCTTCATCCTTCCTTCCTTCCTTCCTTTCTTTCTCTCTCTCTTTCTTTCTTTCTTTTTCTTCTTTCTTTCAGGCTCCATACCCAATGTGGGACTTACAGTCATGACCCTGAGATTAAAAAATCACATGCTCTACAGACTGAGCCAGCCAGGCACCCCTTAACGTCATAATTTAAGATTTCCCAGCAAAGCATGATGGGTGTTTTGTTCATTTAACTGTTCATTTAACAGTTTTTTCAATTCTAAAATTCTGACCATGGGGCACCTGGCTGGCTCAGTCAGAAAAGCATGTGACTTTTGATCTCAGAGTCATGAGTTCAAGCTCCATATGGTGTGTGGAGATTACTTAAAAATAAAATCTTTTTTAAAAATTAAAAATAAAAGAAAATAAAATTCTGACCAATATTTTTGTAGATATTCAAGAAAAATACACAAACGAGGCTATTTATATAAAATGTAGGTAATATCAAATAACTAATGTCCAAGCATGCCTTACACTGAAAAATCACATCTTTATAGATATTTGGGTTTATGGAGGATATAACAAAAATTAAAGGCGACCATCAAAGGATATAGGAACCTTTCCACACTCTTTTCTTTCGAGTCTAATTTTAATTTTATGAAACAGATTACTCATGCACTATTTCTACTGAGTAGACTCTCAAAACACCTGGTCTTTAAGAGCAAGAAGTGATATGACATACGATTAAATTCAAAGGTAAGTAGGAATAAATTTTAATAAGGAAAAATAACAATAATAATGAGGAGAAATAATAAACTTAAAAATCCTCAAGGAAGAAACAAATGAGTAAAAGAAAATTTCAAATAAAAGTATAATGTACAGAGTAAGATGTGTGTCTTCATGTCTTATATGAAATTGTGTTTACTTACTACAAATTTAAATTGTCCCAATTAACAAATATTATGAAAAAATATCTTTGAATATATGCCAAATTTAGTCAATTATTTTATTAATAAACTACCAGTAATGGGGGCGCCTAGGTGACTCAGTTGGCTAAGCGTCCAACTTTGGCTCAGGTCATGATATCACGGTTTATGGGTTCAAGCCTCATGTCGGGCTCTGTGCTGACAGCTCAGAGCCTGAAGCCTGCTTCGGATTCTGTGTCTCCCTCTCTCTCTACCCCTACCCACTCACTCTCTGTCTCTCTCTCAAAACTAAAAAAATATTTAAAAATAAATTAAAAAAAAAACTATCAGTAATGTTACTTAAATGTTAGGATTAAACTTTAAACTATAAATTACTATTATATTAGCATATGACTTCATTAAGTTCACCAGACACACATTCATGCAATTATTTAAACATAGTTATTTGTCTTTTTAAATTATATTAATAAAAATGCCTTTTTATAGATCTATAACAAAATACTTAAGAAATAGGAATGAAATAAAAACTGAAAATAGAAAATGCTTTCCACAGATATCAAAATCTCACCCTAATAGATGCTTTATTACAAAAAACTTTGTTGATAGCAAGCCATGTTGGCAAATCCAACATATTCTGGAGCACCTCTTCATCCAGCTCCAAATTCTTCAATTCACCTTCTCCTTTGAGGGTACTCAGATTTATCTTGTCAGGAGATAAATTCTTAGTAAATCTGAAAGAGAATATATATTGCATTTATTTTAGTGTCAGTTATTGTACCACAGTTATTCTTGCAAATATACAGGGCATTAAAAATGTAATAGCAGCACAAAGAAACACAAAACTGCAGTGACAAGCTCTACTTTAATCCATGTTTTTTGATGCATTTTTGTTATTACTGTTTTGATCTCTTATCCATAGCTCTCTTACATAAAGCCTGCAGTATTTTCAGCATACATTTGAATATCATATTCCCATATACAATCAAACTCTGGTTCTTACTGCCTTTCAAATTTATGAATATTTAAGTAGTGTCTACTATTTCCAGGTACTATGTGAGGCAGTGGGGATAGCTCAAAGCCATCCCACATCACATTATATTCACTTTGCTACAGACCACCTGGCAGAAAGAGATATTCCTCTTCTATGAACCAACCTACAAAGAAGGTTAAGGGGACTCTTTAGAAGTAGCATCAGTGTTGCTACCATTTATCATTTCAAGAACAATATCAAAAGTTATCAGTACTCCTTTTAGAATCATCCAGAGATTCCCAGCTTTAAAAACTAACCCAGATCATTCAGGAATATATCAGAGTACACAAATCTTTCTCTAAAAGGTCTCTGACAAAGAGGATCATGCAACTCTACTTGGCAGCCAATTTCAGTGTTTCCTATGTGACATTTAAAGATACCAATTATTTATAATCCTAAATTGGCTGTGCAAATACCATTTACCCTTTCTGTAGTTCAACTAAATGAAGTATAGAGTATTTAATGAAAGTGCCAAAAGTCACATGGGAGAGTGGACCCTAAATTCTAATCAAAGAACACAGATTCTCGATGATGAAAAATGAAAATTCTTAAACCTAAGAAAAAAGATTGCAAGTAACAATAAAATTTTAAATAATACTGGACATTTTCCAAGGGCTTACTACGTACCAGGTTCTTTGTTTGCAAGCATTATTACTTCATCTAATTCCCACGATAACCCATTAGGGTCAATACTATTTTTATTTCCACTGTTTAGATGAGTAAACATAATGAGAAACTAACATATTTGCCCAATATCTCAACTAATTATGATGATAAGAGTAATAATAAAAGAGCTGAGATGGAAGTACAATGTTCAATTCACGCCCATCTGAAAGGATGATGAACTACAGGTTGTGCACAGACACTACAAATGTCAGCAAATTGGCAAAGTACTCCAGGTCATCTACACTGAACAAGTACTGTGACGGAAGGCGAATGGCACAATTGTCCATGTGGGCATTCATCCTGGCAAGATGGCCATCACTAGACTAAAACTAGAAAAACACCACAAAAGGATCCTTGAACATAAAGCCAAATCTCGCCAAGTAGGAAAAGGGCAAATATAAGGAAGAAACAATTGAAATGATGAAGGAATAAAGTAATCTTATATTCAACTTTAAATAAAAACTGTTCAAATGAAAAAGTAAATAAATCAAACAGCCCTAAAAAATGAAAAACTGCTAACTGCCCAGGAAGTGCTTTTTTCAAAAATGAAACTACTGACAAAATTAACTACCGGGTAACAAGAGTTATCAGCCAGTCTTCTACCATTTTTTGAAACTAAATATTAAAGGAATAAGATATACAGGTTATGCCCTATACATCAACAAGAATACCTACCAATATACACATGCTTCCCATTGACTCTAAACCAGAATTTTTTGAGCCATATTTTATCTGGATTCATATTTTTTCACAGAAGGTCAACTGAAAAATGCAGAATTCATATTTAACCCATATTTGACCAGTGATGCCAGGTTATATTATACTTACCACCAATCATGTTTGGTTTAATACTATGATGTTTCCTGATAGGTTCCCACCCCTCATCATATAGGAATGCCTTGCCACTACCTCAAGGCACACTATTAGAGCTAGAAGGGAGCATTCAATGCCTACTTACTGAGAATTCACTATTCATACACATATACTGACAAGCAGTACACTCAAGAAGTCCTTGCCTTTGTGCAGTTCTCAATTCAGCTGGTAGACAGAACACCAAAAAGCATGATTAAGAGAATACAGTACAGGGCTTTAATCTAGAGCTTCTCTGAAAACAGGGACTTTTGAGCTGATATCTAAGAATGAGTAGAAATTAACTGGGCAAGGAAAAGAAGGGAGTCAGGGAAGAAAGAGTGTTCCAAGTAGTGGGAATAAAATATACAAAGGAAGGTTCTCAGGAAGGAGGGAGCATGGTATAAAATAGAACGGAAAAAAGATTAGCATCTACAATGTAACAAGAGGGCCAGAAGAGTAGAAGATAAATCTGAAAGGACAATGAAGGGACTTGATTCTACAAGGCCTTAACCATTACATTCATTCATTCATTCAATAAATTTTAATTGATACCTATAAATTAACAGACAATGGATATATGACAATGAACAAAACAGATAAAAATCTCTGCCTTCATGGAACTTAAGGGGGCTGGGTTCTGAAAAGAATGAAAAAAATAAGTTAAATATATAGTAAGCCAGATTCTGACTATGGAGGAAAAAAAACAAAGCAATATAGTAATAAGATAGCAGGGGCAAGCAGAGGACCTTTTAATTTTTAAAGGGATGGACAGGAAAATCCTCAGTGAAAAGATGACATGTGGGCAAAAAGATCTGAAGGAAGTGAAGGAGGTAGCTATATAAATATCTAATGAAAAGAAAGCTCTAGGCCAAGGAGAAGCAAAGGTAAAAAAGTTGAGGTGGGAACATGCTTGGCATGTCTGAGAAATAGCAAGAAGGTTAATGTGGCTACAGGAAATGAACAAAAAGGCAAGACTAAAAGCAGATGGAGTAAGTTAGAGAAATAAGAAGGGACAAATCATGTGGGACCTTTAAAGCCACTCTAAGGACTCTGGTTTTTACTATGAGTAAAAATGAAAGTGATTGGTGATTGGAGACGGTTTTAACTAGAATAGGAAACTTCAACTTTTAACGGTCACTCCACTGAGAATATATGAAAGGGTGGACATGGACAGAAGCAGGCAGCCCAGACAGGAGGTTATTGCGATACTCCAGGTAAGAGAAGATGTTGCCTTCTTCAAGAATATATGTCTTGAATCAAGAAGGAAAAGTAGGAAGTGGCAGAAAGGGAACAATCTAGATATATCCTAAAGGTAAAGCCAACAGGAGCTGATTAAACAGAATGAAGTCAAGGATGACTCAAGGTTTTTACTCTGAGTAAATGGAAGGATAGAATTGCCATTTTTCAGGGTAAAGAAAAAGAGGGAAAAATAAGTTTGGGATTAAGGATCAGAATTTAGGCTTTGAACAGTTTAATTAAGAGATGACTATCAGATAATCCAAGAAGAGATGCCAATTAGGTAGTCAGATATTGAAATCTCATTCTGTAGCTGCAGATACAAATTTGGTAATCACCAATGTTATAGATATTTGTGGTTGCAAGATGAAGACATAAAATCAAATGGCTCAAAGACTATGGTCAGAGACCACTAAGAAGACAAGGAAATGTAAAAGAAACCAATAAAGGAGATTAAAAAGGAAGAACCACTGAGGTAGGAAAGAAACCAGGTTGTAACCAGGTTTTGTTTTTTTATTAAGGTAAGAGAAAACTCAGCAAGCTTATCCACTGGTGACAATAACGCAGAAAAAAGAAAACTACTGATGGTGCAGTAAGGACAGACAATTGCTAGAGCAGAATCCTGAGTAGATGAAAGCAGATGTGGTACACAAGAGGAGGGGTTGGCTTTGAATAGTTTTGACTTTGGAAAGCATGTTAATACTCTACATACATAAAAAACAAAATGAGAAAGAACGAGAAAAGGGGAAGCATCTAAAATTGAAAGGAAATTTAAACAAATGAACCTAATTGTACTTTAAAAATACTGTAAGCATATTCAAGTGGAAGATAGGAAGAAAAGAAGGACAAAGGGACAGACAAAGACTATCTGAGTAACTCATGAACACAAATTTGACTCTATGTCCTTATTGGTGGGCAGGATGGGATGCGTGGGTGTGTGTGTGCATGTGGGAAGGGTTAGTGGAGAAATCAAGGAACATCCTGACTGGTTATGTACAAGAATGTTCTTGATCTCAATGGTATTTGCAAAAGGAAAAAAGTGAAAGCACTTAAATGCCCAAGGGGAAATAATCCCTTGACTTATGATATACCTTGCTACATACGTATCAGGTAATATGTGTTGCCAACCATATAAAGAAAATGCCTGTATTATTATGGTGAAAATTCAAGGTTCAAAATTACAATATGATTTCAATTATGTAAAAAATGCATTAGAAAATGTCAAATATCAAGAGTACCTTTGGTTGGTAAGATTTTAGATTTCTTCATCTTTATACTTTTCCATATGTTTAAACGTTCTAATAAGTATATGCCATTTTTATAAAAACAAAAGTTCATCAGAAACCCAAAAGATAGGCCTGACAAGAGTACAAGTGAAAGATGAAAAGATTAAAATACATGTCATTAACAAGAAATTATACCTTCAATTTAGTACGTACTAAAAGGACAACATCTGCAAAGAGCATGAGCCTTAAAGTCAGACAAGTAAGTCTGAATTCTTGTTTAGCTACTTACTGTGATACCTCTCTGCCTCAGTTTGCTCATCTATACAATGGGGAAAATAACATGACCTCACACAATTTTAGTGAGGACTAAAGATAATATGGAAAGCATCAGGTACAAAACAGATATCCAAATAACAGTTCTCTTTTTCCTTCCCTCTTTCTATTTAGATTAAATCATGAACACATTGATTATAGTTTTAACTGAACCAATATCAAAAGTTCATGTTTATCCAAATAATACTTCAAAATAGCCAAGGTATAGAGTTAATCTTGAAAACATATTAATATTGCTCATCTATTAAACTGTTTTAAATAGAAATCAGAAGACATATTGGTAACTTACATTCACAGCTATTAAAAAGCTGATTCCCTATACTGGGTAAGCAGTGTGTATATATCAAATTATTTATCTTCAATTATTCATATTAGGCATTAATTTACA